TAAACCCAGTGCTATCACTTTGTACACCCATTTCAGTAACAAAATCATGAAGTAACTAGAGGGAACATCTGCACAGTGCGAATCCCTCTCTCCCTGGGCTTCCCCAGCTAATGATAGAAGGTTTCCCTCAGCATTTGACAATTCAAAAAATTTGCTTAGCATTAAATAAAAATACAATATTCAGCTGCGACCCCTACCCTCATACCTTCTTTATTACAGCCTCAGTGAACAGGGAGCTGTAAAAATGAGGGCGGCCTTTCCACACCACTACTTCCCTGCCATGCAATTGGGGAGAAGCTGCCCAGCCCTACTCTGCTTCAGAATTACATCTGCAGCTTTGCCTGCTTTGGTGTTTTTTCTGGCTGTAGAAATAAAGACGTGGTGTGGTGAGGAAGATAGCATGGGCCACTGGTACCAACTAATGGTACAACGTATTCTGTCCATATTCTCTTGGGCTGCAAAACCTGAGATCCTCCAGCACTTGGTACTGCCCAGGCAGTTGTCCTTCATGGCAGGCCAGTCAGCAGAGAACCATGGACATGGTGTGGCAGCACCTGAGGTTAAACAAAAGTGCCCAGTTTTGGCACTTCTTGTGGGAACAGCTTTCAGCATCCGTTCTTCATAGACTGTATTGCCATCTCTTCCCTCTCTTGGCGCGGCGGTCCTGAGTTCGATTTTCAGCTGCCAAGATATTGAGCATTTGGATGTGCTGGGAATCTAACCACCTGGAGTGTCAGCTTCTGAGGTGAGGCCACCCAGAGAAACTGGGAGCTGGAGACTGCAGCCTCTTTGTGTGGTTCAAAGGTCACAACAGCTATGTTTGTGCTGCTGTTTCTTGGCAGAGACTCTCATGGGAGGGCTGGGCTTATCTGGCAATCAGGTCCCTGCCCCACGTTAGTTTTTATTCAGTGATTGCTGTCTGCAGGGAGAGCAGAACACAACGTTTCTCCTCATCCAGTCACCTCCCTAATCTGCTGTCCATTTGCCTCAGGTGCCTGCTGTCCTGTTCTCCCTTGACATCAAGCTTCTCCTGGATCATGCCAAGAGACCTTCTCATCCTGTATTCCATAATCATCAGTCACCATAACTGGATGCCTAGGTTAGAGGGTCTTCCCAACAGGACCTTCAGCCATCAGCTTCCTCCAGAGCTGGAAGACATTTCTGTGTATTTGGTAACCCTCAGTGGCTTGCTTTGCCATGCACCTGTGCCTTGAATCCGTGCAAACTCTGCCATTCACAGCAGCTTTTGTAACGGACCACGTACTTCAGCTACAGGTATGGACTGTGGGGCAGAAGTAGTGTCTGCTCCCACATGGAGCATCCCAGGCTGGGAGAGCAGTCGATTCAAATCCCTCAAGGAAAGGCAAGAAATCCAGAATCCTTAGCCATGCTCTGCCCCCCACCATCCCCAGCTATGACACACGGCACAGTGCCAGCCCCACCACCAAGCTCCAGCCCAGGTCGATGTGGGCAGGGCTGGGGTACGCGCGTTTGGAAGCTGCAGCCTCTGGGCCAAAGCCTACACAGGCCCAGGTGGCCAGGAGCCATTTTGCCTGTTGTGTCAATGAAAACATATCTGGTAGGGGGCCTGCCCTGCAGCTTGGGGTGCGATGGCAAATTTTGCATGATGCAGTGAGCACATACAGATCCTCAGGCACGTAGGGGCTGAACTTTCTAGCTTGTCTGCTTCAACATGGGCTCAAGCACAGCATGCAGTTACCTCTCTAAGCCCCTGGAGGCCCTGTCTGGCCTAGCCATGTGTCCTCACACGCTAAATGTGATTTTTTTTTTCTTTGCCCTCCTGATTTTCACTCAAGTTGGTTCAGCTGGAGGAGCACATTCGAAAGCCTGCACTGGTGCCAGGCAGAGGACAGCTTTCCTAACCACAAGGCAGGAAAAGCAGATAGCTGTCACTGTGCTTTGAGCTCACAGGGAGCTCAAAGGCTATCAGGTGGGAGAAGGGGCCAGTAAAGGAGACAGCCAGTAGCTCTGCTACCACAGTGCAAGCAGTGTGATGCATTTTTGGGATGCCTCAAGGCCATAAACACCATCACTCTCCTGGGCAGAGGAGCTGATTTATTTAACTTTTTAAAAACTGATTTACTGCTGATAACCCCCATAAGGTTCAAGCCTTTGATGGTGGACAACGGTCACGTTCCCAGGAAAGAATACAGCCTGGAAGAGATCGTCCTGTCTTGCAACACCTAGACTGGCTCCAAGTACATGCCAAAAGAAATACTTGCTTGTGGGTGTTTGGGACAGGCCCTTCATTTGCCCTTCTGCTGGGGACAGCCGCATCCTTGCTGGGGCTTGCTGATTCATACTCATGGAGTCTGACATGCTTAGTGTGGATCCACAGGAGAAACAAATCACAGAGGAGCAATGTGAATACAGTGCCTGTCACACTGGTATTTCAGCATAACCGTGCTCTGTTTTTAGATAAGAAAATTACAGACTTTCTTTGTACTTCTGAAGTCAGAATGAGACATATCTCATAAAGATAAGGGTCTAGGGCTAGTCCCAGTCTCAGGGTTATCTAGTGGTCAGATGCTAACCAGGCGTTCCCATTAGTTTGGGTCTGTGCATTCCTCCCACCAGCCACTATCATTTACAAAACACAGCTCCATTAGAATGGACTTACTTAATCTGATGGATGTTCTGCCAGCATTAGCACAAGCTGATAGCATGAAGTCTTGGTACAAACTCAGACAAATAATGGAGATTCACTCTTAACAAATCGATTCAAATAGACTCTTTACAGCACTTGCACATCTTCAATAAAAGTTTATATATAAACAATACACAAGGAAGTCAGGATTTCTGTGACACAGTCTTGACTCTTACATCCTCTTCTGGATGTTAACAACTGTATGTTTTACAACTATAAAACTGAGTCAATATTTTATGCCATGCTGTTTGGAAGTATAAAGTGATTTTAAAGAGTTTCACTCTAAGCCCAGTAAATCTGTGGAAGGGATACTGCTGTCTTGCAAAGTTAACAGGACACCAACTTTTATTACATCCGTATCTTTCATATATTCCTTCAGGCTGTTTAGGAAATCCCAATCCTCATTCTATCTTTAAACTTTATTTGTAGTAGAAAAGTCAGTGTTTTAATGCGGTAGCTGTCTTAAAACTGAGCAAAGAATTTAAAAAAAAATACAGCAGAGTTTTTTTTATTTTGAGATTGCATAAAACCACAGAAATACTCCATTAAAAAAATCAGAAATAAGTTCATTTCTCTAACTGCAGGAAAAAGTAGTGACCACTTAAAACCGCATGCTTGCTTAAAAGTAAATACACATACTTAAAAAATGAAGTTTAAGAGATAAATAACCAAAAGGTCCAATCACACGAGTAGTTTTATTTGCTTGGAAGTACTCCTCCACTTAATGTAATGGCCCATCCACCCTGTTGAGCATAGCCATAGTTCCTACTTTTTATGTTCATGTTTTTGAATCAACTTTTTACATCCTTATCAGTAATATCATCAAAATGAAAGCACTTCTAGTTAGAGGCAAAACGTATCGGTGGAAAACATAACACGTCAGCTGCAGAACAACTCCAGTACAGATGGAGGCAACCAGAAAGCCCTGCAGGTGCAGGGGCTTTGCATTAGCACTTGGCCAGCTTTGCTGATTTTATAGGTATGAGATAAACATGGTACCAATACCTAATCTAAAACACTTCTTTCTGCTCTGGCAGAACATGCGGAGTGTATGGCTGTAAAATTCACTTTAAAGTGTTTCAAACTGCATAAAAATAAATATTTATACGTGCATATATACATAGTGCCAAACAGTATACAGTATTCTCTTCTGCTTTTACCACACAAACTTCATGAAAAGAAAAGTAACTTTAAGTGTTGCAGAATTATAGGGAGCTTTCTCTTGTCTTGTCAGAGCTAAGGAAAGCTGCACTACACAGGCCACTTGAACTTTGGTACTGGAGCCAACAGAACCTCACACACACACACATATATACACATATGTATGTATGTATATCAAGATGCATTTCTGTGCTTGTATCTGTGAGTCCACAGAATTAAAAATCACTTAGTTAATTGCACTTGTAAATCAGATCCTACAGATGTCTAAGGGCCATAAACTTTGCTAGCAAAGCCACTGACTGAATGTCTGGCTCTAAAGCTAAGGTAAATTTTGGCTGTTTATCACACATTATTAAAGGACCAGTTAGGAGCCAGTGAAAAATCTATACGATGCTTACTTGCCCACATCAGCCTAGACCCACACCAAATAACGGAATTTTTACATCAACGTACCAAAAAAATTGCAGTTCTCTGCTTTTCTGCTACTTGCTCTCTTTAGCTCCGTGCTAATATGCAAGTATTGATTGCTTATGGTACACACGCTGATAAACCAAAGTCGTGACGTCTCTCCAGGAGATCAGCACACCACTGCCCTGAGGACATACTGGCTTTGGTGGCCTGGGCGTCTCAGGAACGAGAGATTTCTTAGCAGTCCACCAAGGTGCAGAGATCTGCAGCTGTAGCTCAGGGGGAGCTGCCCTGGCACACAAGGTAATGGCAAACATGAAATGAGGAACTGATGCCCCTTAGTGGGGACTTCAGTAGATAAACTCAACAGCAGCGCAGAAACCTAACTTGTCCTTTGCACACTACTATCCATCACTAGATTTTAGACTTCTTTCTCCCCCCCCCCTTTTTGTAATTATGCAGTTGTGGTTACCTGGTATTATTACACTAACTGAATAATAAAAAGCAATTACAAAAATAGCAAACAAGGAAAAAAATGTATTTCTCACATCTTTCCACTACAAAAGCATTGCTGCCATTGTTGCCAAATAACAGCAGATTTTCTTACTAACTTCTTGGTCATATTCTTTATTTATACACACTATTGCAAGTGAGTCCATGTCATTCTAACAGCTCCAGCAAATTCGGGTCTCAAAAAAAGCCCGAGGCAAGACAAATGCTGACCTGAGGGCACCAGACTCCGCCACCCCTGCAAGAGGCCAGGCTATGAGCGAGTGTACTGCACTGTGCTGTATTTGGTCACTCTGGAAGACTTGCTCAGTGTGGTGCTGGCAGGAGGTGGCCCCTCTAAGGTGGACCCTCCCTGATTAAGCAGTGAGTCTGTGAGCACCATGTGCTCTTTTCTTCCCAGGCTGGCACCTGCTGCCTGTTCGGCTCTGCTCTGCATCCCCGAGGCTGTCACTACTGTTTCGTTTACCACCACGCCGCGACCTTCCGCCAAACTGGGGAAGCTGAGCGAGCCCTGCTCTGCAGCGGGCACAAGGACCCTCTCCCGCTCCCTCACGACGACATACTGGGAGTCAGGGAGGTCCTGAACCATCAGGGCTCCTGCACCCGTGCCCTCCGACTTCACCATCCTCTCCGTAACCACCACATTACTTCCATGCGGCAAACTGGGGACTTCCACCATACCCTGCAAGCTCGATGCGGGTGCCAGCACTCTCTCTGTCACCACTACATTCTCCTTAAACTGAGGGTCTAGCAAGACAGTGGCCGAGCGGGCAGGAGCCCCTGCAGAGTAGGATGTTTCCATCACGGTGAAATTGGTGTCCATGTGAGCCGTGGGGAGGGGCCGGGTGTCGTGCTGCCTGGAGCAGGATGCAAAGGTTGTTTCAGTGACCACCTCCTCGGACACTCTGTCTTCTCCTGTGCCACCACTGGCATGCACTGATGGGGCGGACTGGAAGTGGCTGCCTGAGGTAAAGGCTTGTTCGGAGCTGGAAGCATTTTGCTGATCTAGGAACCGCGACTTTGTGTCACCAACACCGAAACCTGATTCATTCCTGGAGCTCCCATCTTTCACGTTGATGTGTCTGCCTATGCATATTTCTGCTAAAGTCTTAAATTTGTCTCCTAAGTCATCAAGAAAGTGGTCGTCAAGATCACCGTCAATAAAGCTGCAGCAGCCGATGGAGCCGTGGGGGGAGCCTGACTCTCCCTGGGAATAAACCAGGAGACAGTCATTTGCAGCTTGGGCTTCATCTTCATCCGCAAAGGAGACAGCTTTCTATAGAGAGAAAACAAAAGTAAGCAAAAATTCATTAATGTCAGCTCTAGACTTAATAAATTTGAAAATCAGGAATGCTTGGTCAGAAAGGTTAAAATAAGAAAATTTAACTGAACCCACAAAAAGAGTCAACCAAGAGAGGGCAGTACCTAAAACTGTTTTTTGCTTTGTTTGACTTCTAGTGCTTTTTGCTACTTCGAGCTAACTAGTCTGAACTTGACAGTATACTTGATGAGAAGAAAAATCTCAGATTAAATTGAAAACCTTGGGTACTATCATCACCTGCTGCTTCTCCTACCAGGCACTGTGCTGTTTGTGATACTGCTTCATCTTCACAAAGAGATTGCTTTTATTTTGGTTCAGTGAATGAACTTCACCTCTAACCAGGTTTTTGTGGGAGAGTGTCCAAACCATGCCTGAGAGTATCCTAATGTTTAAACACACATTTAATGAGTACATGCTGACATGCTATCACCTGCCACAGCCCTTTTCACTAGCATAGCCTGCAGGATCACACCCAAGGAGCTCAACAGCAAACAAACCACAAAGTTAAATGGCTTGGTAAGTATGGGAACACAGTCCAGCATATAAATTTTTAGGCTCTATGCAGGCTACTGTGCAACAAGGAGGGCTCACAGGTTCTGGCTATAGTGTTTCCAAGGCCAGCTCAGTCTGAAAGCAGCATCTGCAATGGAGTTGTTGCTGGTGCTAGTACAAATACCAGTGCTTGCACCAGCTCCAGTTCCAGAAGTGAAGACAGCCAAATCCTTGAACCAGCTTTACCCAATACAGTTGCTGGCTCATGCTCAGAACCACTTTCTGCCACATTTGAACTTCTGGAGTGTATATTAGCTCAGGCATCTGTGTAGTGTGGTACATATCCAGAACCAAATTGACTTTGTATGTTTATCTGCATTTGGTCCTGGAAGTAGACACATTACCTGAAATACTTCTACAAAAAGCAGGGCACATCTGAAACTATTTGGTTTAGTAACTTGTCTGGGTTTTGTTGTTTTTTTTTTGTTTGTCGTATTTTTAATTTCCTGAGATATTTTAGCCTCCCAGAAGTTTGCTTACAGGAAAGCTGGAGAGAGACATTTTACAAGTGCATGCAGTGATAGGATAAGGGGTAATTGTTTCAAACTGAAAGAGGGTAGATTTAGATTACATATTAGGAAGAAATTCTTTACCCAGAGTAGTGAGGCACTGGACAGTTGCCCAAGGAAGCTGTGGATACCCCCTCCCTGGAAGTGTTCAAGGCCAGACTGGATGTGGCCTTGAGCAATCTGGTTTGGTGGGAGGTGTCCCTGCCCATGGCAGGGGGGTTGGACTGGATGATCTTTAAGGTCCTTTCTAACCCAAACCATTCTTTAATTCTAAGCTGTAAAGGTTACTTTAGCATGACAGTTTCAAAGCCCTCCTGCAGGACTTCAGTGGGCATCTATGCTTAAAGTATGTCTTAATATTAGGAAGCTCAAAGAGCGGAAGCAGAAGGAAAGCAGAATTACTACTGTTGCATCTGTTCACCCAGAAGACTGGTAGCTAGAGCACTCGCAGACATATAGATGTCTTAAGCTCAAATCTTTCTCTGGCCTGAGATATGGATTCAAAACTGCAGAGACCCTGCAGAGCCGCATCATCAATCAGCTGTAGGCTGTTAGTGTGAAGGTGTTTTATTTGTAGAATTGAGGGATAACCTGTACACTCCCTGGCATATGGAAGTGAAGCTTCCACGATAAGGCTCACCAGCCTAAGGACTAATGACGTGTGTTACACAAAGAGGAATAGCTGCAGTGAGCAGGAATAGCCTATTGGGCAACAGTTAGGTTACACACACAAAAAAAGTCAGAAAGGAGATTGCAACACGCACCGCATACACTTCTGATGCATGGCCCTTTACCCAGGTCCTGGGCAAAGAGACAAGTCCAGCATCACTTACTGCATCAGCTACTTTGAAAATGCAGACCCACCCTCCACCGTTTGACACCTACAGCTTATTTTTCAAAAGCCTGCTTCACTATAAAGTTATGTAATGTAGCTGTGACTCACGATGACTCATAGGTACCTCCCTACAGGCCAGTTTAGTGTCCGTAAGTCCTTGAGATTTATACCACATAATCTTTCTCACGGCTTCTTCCTGGGCAAGGGGTTCCTTGGTCATGGCTGAATATTCTGGATCCCATTCCCAAGTATCTCCCTCGAGAGAAGTGTCTCATGGGAGACCTTGTAAGCACACAGTACTACAAGACTGAGGATTGCCATGCTCCAAGTCCTATGTGTAAGCCTAATCCAAAAATCCTTAATGCCCTCAACTCCACATGCACACAACTCTAGCCACTGTATCAAGACTATTTATATATACATATGTACTCATCTGTGTTTGTAATAACATGAACAGCATTGCATGACACCAAGTGTAAATATCAAAATACTGTTATTCCCAAGTCATATGCTTACGTCATTGAAGTAGTCTCTTAAAAATTCTTCATTCATGGCTCCTGCTGCTCCCACTGCAACTCCTCCTCCAGCCACCAGCGTCTTGCCTTCTACACCTGCCATGCCTTCAGCTCCTCCAGCTGCCATGGCTCCGTATTCAGCACCAGAAAGGAGATGTCTTTGCTCTTCCCATCTCTCCTTGGTAATGGTGTTTTGATGCTCTCTCAAATGAGAGGCAGAGCTGCCTCCTCCTGTTGCAGTTTCC